CAACTGTGGTCACTTTAGTATGTTTTAAATGACAGGTAAGTTTATTATAGTATACTAGAGGGAGACTTCGTACAAAAGTCGATTGCTTAGGTACCTCTATCCCATTCGTATTTCAACCGTGAAGCAGTTGTGTTTGCATGGCTGTGTTTCGGTTTAAATGGTGGGTTATGGCGTGAATTTACAGGATACAAAGGAATAACACCTGAGTCCTCAGGAATGGCAACGCATGGGGGGTATCATGAGCGAAACGGTATACTTTCTCTACTGTCTCTGTCTGTCTACTATGTCCATGGTACTGCTCATGTCTACCACTTTGTATCAGGTGGGCTGTCAGCTTGTTTGCCATTCTAAGTTGTCTGAAAAAAAAGTCAGTCATGAAGGATGAGAAAGTTACAGACTAGCAGCTCCGTATCTGTCAATCTACCCTGTCAGGTTAACTTTCGTACGATTCTCCTTCTCCTCTCTCCTTCATTACGCTGAGTCAACTGATATGACTTCATTCTCATCTATTATCCATTACCGGTGCCCCGCCAGTATATACCGACAGTGCAGGCGAGGCTACCACTCCATTTTCATCTGTAAAGAAACCTGCAGCAGTTAGGGAGACTTTTTTAATGAGTGAAAATGGAATTATAACCCTAAATAAGGAACGGTAATATTAAATTTGCTTTCTTTTAAATTTAAAACCTCAACTGGAAGTTTATTATAAAAACGTATACAGTGCCCCATATACATTTTTTTTATACAACTTAGAATGGCAAACAAGCTGACGGGCCACCTGATGGAAAGTGGTAACCGTCGCCTATAGACATGAGCAGTACCATGCACATAACAGAGTATACTGTTTCGCCCATGATACCCTCCATGCGTTGCCAGTCCTGAGGACTCAGGTGTTATTCCTCTGTACCCAGTAAATTCACGCCATATCCCACCCTTCAAACCGAAACACAGTCATGCAAACACAACTGCTTCACGGATGAAACACGAATGGGACAGAGGTATCCAAGCAATCGACTTTTATACAAAGTCTCCCTCTGGTTTACATTTTCTTGACGTATAAAAAAATATTTAAAGATGTAGAAAGGGAGGAGGTATTATGTACTTCAAACTTACAATATATCCCCCTATATTATTGCTACTGAGATTAAAAGCGGTGCCCCTCTGACTTCCTATACCTACAGAGGCCGCGTTACCGTCGCACGAGTGCCCAAAAAGCCGCCCGCCGACCAAACAAACGCCGTTTGCTGACCATACGTGCATCCAAACAATATACAATTCAGTAAAAAACTATTCGCTCCAGTTTTGGATACGGCATTTGTATCGGTTTTTTTTTAATCGATAAAAATGGAATGAGATAGTGAGGGATGATAAGTGAGTATGAATTCGGATCGGTTAAAGGAAGAAAGGTTAACCACGATGGGAAAATAAATCAAGAGAAACGGCGTAGAGGCTGACTTGATATAATGCTAGGCTAGGACTGCCATCCGTCCGGAATTCCCCGGATTTGTCCTAGTTTGAAAGGCGTCCGGAGGCCGCCCGGCAGGAGTTTTTGCCCGAGTGTGTGTTTGTGAGAGTGTCCGAGCGTAACCCGCCCGGTACGCACGTAGTTAATTCGATTTTAATAACAAGCTGTATAAATAGATAAAAATTAAAAGATCATAACAATGTTTTTATTTTTGTTACAAAAAAAATATTTTTTCAGAAGTGTCCGGGGAAAAAACCATATTTCGCCCAAAGGTCCGACAGCACACCTGCAATGCCGTAGGTGTTGTGGATGACCATGGGCGGCGGTAGTCACTTACCATCAGGAGAGCCGCATGCTCGTTTGCCCCCTGTGTTGTAAAAAAAAAGGTCCGGGATTTTTGCAGTGTTTATCAGGTGTCGGCAATTTAGGTGATAGCAGCCCTTGTTAGATTCTATTACTAACGATCCTTAGCTATGAACCGCCCCTCCCCCTTCTATCATGGTAACAAGGTACTAGTTGGTGTTGCGGGTGATCATGGACAGCGATAGTTACTCACCACCACTGTTATAAAAAGGGGGAAAAGGGATTGTTAGCAATGGAGTTTGACAGCCCCATTGTTAGCAATTTGCCCTATTAAGTCGACCTCCACGTGGTTCCCCCTGGAAACCATCGTGAACAATTCTTATTGAATTCGTCACGGTGGGCTAACTGACCTACTTCATCCTCACCTATCATCCTTCACTGGTGCCCCGCCGGTGTATACCGATAGCGCGGGCGAGGTTACCATTCCATTATCATTCATTAAAAAAAAACTGTTATAAAAAAGACTAGGAGAGCACAGAGCGGGGGATAGTACAAATCGTGACAGCGTTCCTAATAATTCGATTTTCATATACGGATGCCACATCCAACAGTTTTTGTCTAACATCAGCACAAGTCAGGAGATAAATTAGTTGGGCACCTACATTTCTGTATTCAACGCGCGATATGTTGGTTTTTTCGCTCCCGTAACACTGAGCGGCCGTGCGTACCCGACCAGGAATTGTATATTCTTGTAGACCTTTTAGGACTACTAAATGAATAAAACTGTAGCCTACGTATTCATGGGTTTCAGGATATTTTTATACATCTAACTAGCGACCCGCCCCGGCTTCGCACGAGTTTTCTTAACGAGTGATGATGGATGGGTAACCCCGCCTGCACTACCGGTATACCTTGGTGGGGTACAAGTGAAGGAAAGGTGAGGATGAAAGCAGGTTAGCTAACCTATTGTGGCGAACTCTACTAGAAATAACCACGACGGTTAACCTCTGTTAAGTTCTACTATATATATATATATATATGAACGTACATGGAAGATATATAAGAAAAACTATTATAGTGAGGCTTTATGAATGCAATATAGTCCAAAACAATGATTTATAAAATTTTTATCTATTTGTCTGTACGTTTGTGCACACTAATCTCAGAAACGGCTTAACCGATTTCATTGCGGTTTTCACTAATACGTTGCAGTTTACTTCACTTAACATTTAATGTTTGTTTTATTTTAATCGGTTCATAAATAAAGAAGTTATTTCAATTTAAATAATCACATATAAAATGCTATAAAATAACCAATCAGTTGAATCGGCTGGAACTTTAAGAAGATATTAGGTAAGTAATTATCATTTAAGTATATAACACAATATAAGACCGAATTCATGAAAAGTTCCAATGGGAATGGTATACGGCAACTACATAATCAGATGCGGACAAAGCCGCGGGACACTTTTTTTTATACAACTTAGAATGGCAAACAAGCTGACGGCCCACCTGATGGAAAGTGGTAACCGTCGCATATAGACATGAGCAGTATATATGGACATAACAGAGTATACTTACTGTTTCGCCCATGATATCCCTTATGCTTTATCAATCCTGTGGACTCAGGTGTTATTCCTCTGTAGCCTGTACATTCACTGCCATATCCCACCCTTCAAACCGAAACACAACCATGCAAACACAACTGTTTCACGATAGAAACACGAATGGGACAGAGGTGCCCAAGCAAACGACTTTTATACAGTCTCCCTATGCTTAAATTGCGTTAATAGGGCTGTTCATCCATTTAACCCATACAATGAGTTGTAAAAAATATGGACTACAAATCCTATTTTTTAATGGGTAATAATGGCATGGTAATCCCGCCTGCGCTATTGGTATACACTGGCAGAGCACAAGTGAGAGGTGATAGGTGAGGATCAAAAGGCCGGTCGGTTAGTCCATCGTGACGAATTCAAAACTAAATTTGTCACGATAGTTTTCACCGCGTGGAAGTCGACCTGATATTGATAGCAATGCGGACTAACCTCCCCATTAATAACCATTCTTATTAGATGTCTACAGAATACATTATATATATATATACGAGGTCTGTCCGGAAAGTTCGTATAAAAGTGTTCTGGAATGCGAGAAAGAGGAGTGGGGAGGCCAGGTAAGCGCAGGACCCCTTCCTTATGTCCCTAACAATGCTTCAGTTCTGGTCTGACCGCCGTGCGGTGCGAACTGGCTTGTCACGCCATCTGTGAAATTACCTCTTAACGAAACCCCGTCGGCATGGAGCCCGCTTCCGTTGAAGAGCAGCGCGTCGTAATCAAGTTTCTCTCGAAACTCGGCAAGAATGGCCGTGAAATTTTTGCCGATCTCAGAACAGTAAAATCCCAAAGCAAAGAGTGGAAGACATCCGGGGAACCACGAACAAAAAAATCAAGAAAATCCCGCTCAAATGTCAAGACAATGTTGATTGTTTTTTTCGATGTTCGGGGGATTGTCCATCAAGAATTCGTCCCTCCAGGCCAGACAGTTGATGGAAAATTCTACGTCGATGTGCTCAGACGCCTCAAAGCTCGTGTGGCACGAGTTCGTCCAGAATTGGCGCGAGAGGGGCGTTGGATTCTTCACCACGACAATGCCCCTGCCCACACCTCTCTTGTTGTCCGTGAGTTTTTGAGTAAAAATTCCATTACGGTGACCGAACACCCCCCCCCCCTATTCGCCGGATTTGGCCCCGTGTGACTTCTTCTTGTTCCCAAAAACCAAATTGGTACTTCGGGGGCGGCATTTGGGGGACATAAATGAGATAAAAAAAGCTACGACGGGGCAGCTGAGAAACCTACAACCAGAGGACTTTCAAGGAGCCTTCTCACAGTGGAAACGGCGTTGGCACAAGTGCATTATGTCACAGGGGGAGTACTTTGAAGGGGATAAAATTGATTTACCTGAATAATTGTAAAATAAAATTTTTAAAAAACTTTTATACGTACTTTCCGGACAAACCTCGTATAATGTATTCTGTAGACATCTATGCGGTCCCACCGGGAAACTATCGTTTTTTTTTTAATTCATCATAGTGCTTGGCCAATTTACTTGTTTTCATTCACCCCATCATCCCTAAGTGGTCTTGTCAGCATACAGTAGCACAGTGCGAGGTTACTATTAAATTATCATTCTATAAAATAAAAAAATAAAATGGTTCTAAAATTTAAACGCAAAATTTTCAACAATTCTTATATTTTCTATTTTCATAACAGATTAAATTAACAAGGTTACAATATATTGTAACAATTGTTTCCGTATTAATAAGGCGTATGAATTACATTGACAATTGTAAGTTCTATTAAACCTAACATATTGAACTAAAATTCATTGTAATTTATTTATTCATTTGTACAAACATATATGTGTACATGACGGACTTAATGCTAAAAACATTCTCTCCCAGTCAACCATAAGATAGTGTCAGAATACTCGAATGCGGCACTAGTAATTATTGATATACATACTCGTACATACTAAAATTACATATATAAACGAATAAATATATATAAATAACAAATATACTCTATTATACATGAAATTGAGAATAATATAAAGCACTTACAGCTCGGATAAAGTAAAAAAGTGGGTGTGAACGTTTTTTTTTTAAAGACGGTTGGTTTAGTCGGTAGTCTCTTAATGGTATCAGGTAGCGCGTTCCAAAGTCGTGAAGAGTGTAGGAGATAAGAATTTGAAGCGTAACGAGTACGGTGAGAGGGGATAGATAGTTGGAGAGTATCACTGGAACGAAGCTTACGATCGTGAGTTTCAAAAAGGTACTGGAATTTGCTGCTTAAGTGAATTTGCTTATAATCCTTATAAGTAAATACTAACTACTATAATAGTTTCCTGTATCTCTGTAGGTATAGTAAAACCTCTTAAATAAATTGGATCGTCTTCACAAGAATAGCATACGTTTTATTTTTAATTTTCGTAAGTATTAGCTTATATCTCCTTACCGCGCGCAGCTTAAGTGGCTCCTTATCCAACTGCGTAGAATTACACGCATATTGTGTACTTTGCATTCCATTTTGTTCGACCAAACTCTCCCGACTACCTTAAAATTAAATTTCAATTTCATGGGAACATTACCAATCGTTGGCTTCGTCCGTGAAGGAATGTTCTTCACATGCCTGCTCATCGTACTGGCTTCATTTCCTATACCTTTACAGTTCAAGCTATTAAACACTGGAACACACTCCCACTTGACATAAGACCTACCGTAAGCAAGCCACCTTTTAAACATAAGTTGCGCACCTATTTCTTAGAAAAAACACTTTCCCTTTATTTGGTTACTCTGAGTCATAGATTGCTATTTTCTCTTCTATTACAGTTGTTTTATATAGTAATCTTTCATGTATTTATTTATATATGTATTAATTTATTTATTTAATATATTATGCGTATGTTGATTAATTTAATTATATTGTATTTATATTGTATAAATATTTCAAGTATTACTTTATTTTTCCTCTATTCAATAATGCACCGGATACTAATTTCTTTGTTTGTCCAATGGTTGACTGGTAGAGAACACCGTCCAATGTTAAGTCCACCAAATGTACATAAAAATTTACTGTACATTAAAGTGTAAATGAAATAAAATAAAGGACTAAGCAAAAATTATACAACAAAACTAATTTGACTAGGTAATGAGCTAAATCATCTGGAACATCAGTAACCTCTTTTTAACCCATTAATCGTACGTTCAAGCCTATTGACGTTGGACAATCATTACTCGATATCATCTTATACTATTTTACATTTATACGCAGTCATATTGTTTCTAATAACATTAAATAAAATAATTTTTCTACAATTTATAATCAGCGCCATCTATCGGTCACAAGCTCTTCGCTTTCCTATCACGCAGGAGGCTGGCTATGAAGAACTCTCCCGCTCTGTACGAGGAGCGAACTAGGGGTCCGCTGGCTGTGTACAAGAACCCTAGCTCGTTGCCTTTGTCCTCCCATTGCTTAAATTTCGTTGGGGTAACGTATTCATATACTTTGAGATGGCGTTTTGTGGGTTGCATGTACTGACCGAGGGTAACGCAGTCGACACCTGCTGTGCGCAGATCTGTAAATAATAATAGCGATAGAATTATGTATAAGAATAAACAATCTGTTTTTACTTCGAGGTCCTTATGGAGTAGGCACAGAGAACCGGGTTTCCTGTTCCAATATTGGTTTAAAAGAAAGTCTTTTTCTTTGAGCTTTCCTGTTATTCTGGATTAGCTTTTTCTAATCGTACGGCTTCATTAACTTCTGATATATGTAAATTAAAAAATAACACTAATTTATTTTATGCATAATTAATATTATTTCATTATTTTTCATTAATATGGTCCTGGCATGGGATGGGCTAGGACCATATTATCCATGGCCCTTCTTTTCCCATGGATGTCGTAAGAGGCGACTAAATTAATAGTCGAAGGATGGCCAACAGCATACCTCTTAAAACATTACCAAAGCTTAACTGCGGTTGCCAATCTGCTTACCAAGCGTGGCAATTACTGGCAACACTCACCAAAGTGAAGACATATATTCCGCAATGGATAGTTAACTCCTATTGATGATGATGAGAATGAAGATGTTGAACGCATAATTATAATCTATAATATCGTATTATGAATTAGTCTATCGATTGTTAAATTATATGTGATCGCAATCGATGATGATTAAAAAATCAATACCGAATGGTTATTAGGAAACATTACGCAGTGAATCTAAATGCCACAGAGATAGTTCTTATATCTAATATATAAAATTCTCGTGTCACGGTGTTTGTTACCAAACTCCTCCGAAACGGCTTTACAGATTTTTATGAAATTTTGTGTGCATATTGGATACGTCTGAGAATTGGCCAACATCTATTTTTCATACCTCTCAATGATATGGGTGACCCACCCCTAAATTTTTTTTTTTATTTTTCAACAAAATTTTTTATTTTTATTTCAATATGATTTAGCATTGAAAAATACATACAAATTCAAATTTTCACGCATTTACGATCAATCCCTGTTGTTTAATTGCAATTTTTATATGCCGCAATAGGTTTGCAAGATGACAATCGAATATAATAATTGTAGTTTCACGTATAGTTCTAGAAATAATGTATATGGTAAAACAACGTTTACCGAGTCAGCTAGTAAAAATATATGTAAAGGTACCTTTCATAGTTTGTTCCACCTGTTGATCACTTTCGCCGAGACCCAGCATAATGGACGACTTCGTAATTAAATCTGGATTAATATCTTTTGCTGTCTGCAACACTTTCAATGTTTGCCGATACCTGAAACATTGTCAATTTTATATGTTATATGAAGATAATATATACAATAATAATTTATTTAAAATATGAACTGAAAAATTTAAATTTTACAGAAAAAGGATTAAATGATTTGTAAGTAGGAACTGATGATTTTTCTCAAAGAAACATAGTTCCAAAAATTACTGTTTTTAACTTGCCATATTAATTTGACAGTAAATTTTTTTTATACAACTTAGAATGGCGTACAAGCTGACGGCCCACTTAGCTTATATATATAAAAAAAAAATGTGTGTTACATATTTCCTTTATTAGTTATGGAAAAATCCCCATTACATTCTTCATATTAACCATGCCGTCCTCTGCTTAGAATAGGCCACCCCTACCTTTCCGGGCGTGTTATAAAAGGTGACTAAGAGAATTTAATGGTTTAGGAATGGACAACAGCATACCTCTTAAAATATCACCAAAACTTAACTGGGGTTACAAACCTACCTTATAAGTGTGACTACAATTGGCAACCCTCTCCCCCCTCTCAAGGTAGAAACCTTTATTCAGCAGTGGACAGTTATTATAATGATTCTTTATCCTTGATATGTCATGTGATAGAGTTGTGTGACGTCATGTAAATAGAATTTCTGCAACTCACCCGGCTCGAGGGTCTCTCACGAACGGTGTTAATCTCTCCACAGTCTCGATGTTATGGGCGAACACATCGAGACCGCAGTTCGCTATTGTCTCGATCGAATCGCGATTGGCGCGGAAATCTGGCACTAGGCACTCCACCAGGATATCTTTATTCCTGTTCACACAAAAAACAATATACTATAGCTATTTAATAGAAAAGAGAGTAGTAGACAATATCTTGCAAAGAAAAAAATAACTATTTATTAAATAAATTATCAATAACTGCTTATAGTTGTCGAAGATATCATGTATATTTACCCCAAATCACTTGTGAGGTAGATAGAAAGAATTCAGTGCCAAAAACCTTTATGCTTACATACATTTTTTGCTTCATCTATTTTGTATTTTTATTTTTTTATACAACTTAGAATGGCAAACAAATTGACGGCCCACCTGATAGAAAGTGGTAACCGTCGCCTATAGACATGAGCAGTACCATGGACATAACAGAGTATACTGTTTCGCCCATGACATGCGTTGCCATTTCTGAGGACTCAGATGTTATTCCTCTGTACCCTGTAAATTCACGCCGTATCCCACCCTTCAAACCGAAACACAGCCATACAAACACAACTGCTTCACAGTAGAAACACGAATGCACATGAGTTACGCCAAAATTTGAGAATCTCAGATTACAAAGACACTTAGTTATGAGAAACCAAGCAGTGAACATATAGACGCATAACCATTCTGGGTTCTACATCTATGACTACAGACCATAGTTAATTTACAATTTTGGTTTTTAAATTGGTCTAATTGATCGCATATTATAGCATGTTTTAATCTTTCCAATTCCAAAAATCTTAAATTAATATTTTTTTTTTTATTATTGTAAGTTATACTAAATTTTGTCCTTTACTAGGTGTATGACGAAAGTCCCAGAGGGTTGACGTCAGGCAGGCGGCCGGTCGTAAAACTATAAGCCAAATCCTTTAGTAATATGGATAAAACCATATTGCACAGACCCCAGATAATAATTGGGATAAGGGTAGGAAGGTGATGAGTAGGTATGTGACCACCAACACTCGAAAATTGACCACCAGAAGTTCCACAATCTTCCATATTAGCCAACAATCTCCAACTGCTATACTTCTAATACAGAACTTGGCCACAGCAGAATATCAGTGTTTTGCTCTTTTAAGGGCAAAGCAATAAACTGGTGGTCTACCATGAAATGAAATTTCGAATTTTCGGGCTCAATTTCGTGTTTTTGTTTGTATCAAAATATCAGTAAAGCTTAACATTTCGTTTAATAGTCCAGAGGAATGATATTTTAACATTTTTAATAATTTTAAACGGCATGTACTATGTAATTTTAACATCAAATTTCTGTTTCGTTCGCCTCCGAAATTTCGGAAAATATTTCATGGTAGGCCCTCTGAGCTGTGACCATTTTGTGTTACTATGGCACACGCATGAAGGAAGGGAAAGAAAGGAGATTGATAGTTTATATATTTTGTTTTTTTTTTTGTTGCTTTTTTATTTTCATTCTTTTATCTCTTTTGCTGTGTATTATGTGTATGTTTGTTTTTTATTGTAATTTGTGTGCTGTAAATAATGTAAATAAATTATCTATCTATCTATCTAACTTTTGATAGTAACGTTGGTTTCGAGTGTTGGCACTCACACACATACTAATGGTAGCGGAATTAAACAAAATAATTCTAATCAAATAACCAGTGATATATACTTCAGCAAGATAACACCTAGTTCAGTAAAATAATTAACAGATGCTACTTACTGTCTCTTTATTTCTCTAACAGTTTCGGCAAAATGTCCAGAACCACCATCGGGTAAATCTGTAATGGATTAAAATAAAAGTTAATCTTTGGAGCGGACTAAACTAACTAGTCCTAACCATGCTCACATTGGAGGGAAAGGATTGTTAGTAATGCAGACTACCAGTCCCATTGCTAGCAATATACCCTGTCAGGTCGACCTCCACATGGCCCCTTGGAAATCATCATGAATTTCAGGTGTATTCATCACGATAGGCTAAATGACCTGCCCTTTCATCTCACCTATCATCCCTCACTGATGACCTATTGTCATCTATTAAAAAAAAACATGTTTACATACACATGGTTAGGACTAGTTAATAATTTATAATAGTGTTCCATATTACAAAAAAAAAACCAGTTATTTTTATCTAAACATTAAACTAATGAACGGATTTTGATAACAATTTTAAAACATCTCTAAAGCCTAATTGCGGTTGCCAATCTGCCTCCCAAACATGGCTACTAAACTACTGGTAAAACTCCCCAATTTTTTTTTTATATACAACTTAGAATGGCAAACAAGCTGACGGCCCACCTGATGGAAAGTGGTAACCGTCGCCTATAGACATGAGCAGTACCATGGACATAACAGAGTATACTGTTTCGCCCATGATACCCCCCATGCGTTGCCATTCCTGAGGACTCAGGTGTTATTCCTCTGTACCCAGTAAATTCACGCCATATCCCACCCTTTAAACCGAAACACACAACTGCTTCACGGTAGAAACACGAATGGGACAGAGGTACCCAAGCAATCGACTTTTGTACAAAGTATCCCTCTGGTCCCAAGCTTCCTCGACTTATGTTCAGCAGTGGACAGTTAAAGGCTGATATCAAGGTAGATTTAGTTACTGTCCGATTTGACCCACTGAAACTGCGCAGAGATGTTGCATCTCTGTGCATCTTCTACCAAATTTATCATGGGGAGTGCTCTGAGGAATTGTTCGGATTGATACCTGCTGCTGATTTTCACCACCGTACAACCCGCCACAAACTAAAGTTTCATCCCAATCATCTGGACGAGTGGCGGCCTTCCACCGTGCTGTTGTGGGTGATCATGGGCGGCGGTAGTCACTTACCATCAGGTGAGCCGCATGCTCGTTTGCTCCCTGTGTTGTAAAAAAAAAATTACCATCTCGATCAACTGATGTGAGTACAATATAGCCGAGTCCCCATTGGTTGATGGCGTACGCCGTGTTATATGGCTCCTCCGGGTCCAGGGGTGGCGGTGTTCGGGATGTCTTCACGGAGCAGAACATGCATCCTCGGGTGCACGTGTCGCCCATTAGCTGAAAGTTATATATAAGGTTGGTTGTTGGCACAAATTTATATGTTAAGTATTTAAGCATTTTCATCTCGTTTTTAGTGCCACTGATTTTTACTTATATCTGCTTAAAAATGCCAAAGAAATCTTTCTCGTGTTGATGTCATTTACCCTTGTCACTAAAAAAACTGTATCTCCCCCAAAAATTATTCAATTTTAATATTTTTTTAACAGCAAGCTAAACAGCGACTGATTTCACGAGCGCTATGACGCTCGTGACACTTTTAGTTGCAATGCGCACGAGCGCGATGGCGCTCGTCGGCACTCAAAGGCTTAATATAGTGCGTACAATACAAAATCCGTCTAAAGCATTTGGACGAAAACATGACTGCATTTAAACTCTATATTCCATAGTACTTTATACAACAGAAAGTTTTTTTTTTTTTTTGTTTCATGCAAACTATTCTGATACTAAAATGCACTATCTTTTAAGATTGAATTCAGGTAAAATGTAAGTTTTACTGTAGCGTACGTAAGTACCATCAGTTGCCTTTACATATACAATCAGACAGATACTCATACAATGACTATGTATTATCTCCTTTTGGTGTTCCGTTTTTAAAAACATAATAAGCATAGACAAGGAAAAAAATTAATAAACCTTTTACCATAATGGTAGCCGTTGAGGTGCCATGTTTGCCACCACTCCAGCACTCTCCGATATTAGGACACCTGGCCTCCTCACACACTGTACTCAATTTTAATGTACGAAGTTGTTTCTTGAGCTCGCTGAACTTGGAGCCTGGAAAGTATAATGTTTGTTTGATTTATATTAGATTATATATATATAGTTTGTTTGTTTTATATATTATATAGTTTGTTAACTATTAAACAATCGCAGTGCATGTCCCGGCATAGAATGGGCCACACCTTCCTTTCCCCTGGGTGTCGTAAGAGGCGACTAAGAGAGGACGAGGAATAGGTAACAGCGTCTCTCTTAAATCATCTTTTAAAAGTCTAACTGCAGTCGCTAACTCGCCTGCCAAGTGTGGCAACTACTGGCAAAATTTCCCTTATGGGGAAGACTTACATTCAGCAGTGGACGGTTAACGGCTGAAATAATAATTAGGTTATTTCCGAGCGCAATGCCGCAATATCCGCATACCCTCCTTTCCTATCTATATTCCTGATCAAATCTAGAATCACATTGGAAGGAGATGGGTAACAGTCTGTCGTCTAACTGCACATCGAGCAGATCAAATCTCGTAAAGTTCTCGATAAATCTCCGCCCATTATGCACAGTCTAATCAGCCGCGATTTCAATATATTGTTTAGCAAATCTGCAGCAAAATCAACAAAAGTGTTGTGTGAACGCAGTAAAACAAGAACGCGTATAAGAAGACCTACACGCATGACTACCTAAACCTGGTTTGTCCTTCTCTTTACTTTTTAGCCAACATTTACAGTAAAACTAAATCTGATAAAATAAAAAAACAACTAAATGTCACATGGCAATCGAAAATGTTAATAAAATGCTAAATAAAATTGTGAATCTTTCCTGTAACCAAATAAAAAAAAGATTTATTTAGCTTTTTCTTCATTTAAAGTGGCGAGTTGACAAATGTCCTGAATAAATTTTTAAAATAGTTTTATATTAGTATTTTTTTTTTATGCTACTTAGAATAGCAAACAAGGCGACAGTTCACCTTATGGTAACCATCACCTATACACATGAGTAGTACCATGGACATAACAGAATATACTGTTTCGCCCATGACACATTCATAATTAAACAAATACACTACCAGTTTAATGTAACTAGAATAGTTTTGATCACAAAGCAACAGACTTAAGTTAACACAGAGTAATTTTACAGTAAGTATTTTTATGTGCCACTGTGCAAAACTAATTTAGGATTGAGTGCTCCGCTTGCAAGAATATATGCTATTTAGATTCGGATATAGACGTAAGCCATGACTCGTTGGCAGTGTCTTGTGGTAAGATACTGAAGTCCATGTAGATTTGATAATATTGCCCAGTCTTGTTTTATATTTAATTGAATTTTGTTATAAGGAATATGTAATTATAAATTTAATTATGACATTTATATGCTTGTAATCTGTAGTCAATGTTGTGTATGCCTGCTATAGGTATGCATATCAGCATGCTACACAAAAAAATATATTTATGTATATTATGTATACTGTTGGTGAGCCTAATTCGAAATAAATAAAATAAAAATAAATAAGTAAGTATCAATTGATCTCAACAAATCAAATAGACAACCAAAACAAATGCACTACTATTAACTTCTGACAAAATCTTTATTGTCAGAAGTATATATATTTGTTTAAACTAAATGAATAGTTTATATTATCAACAACATGTGTATGATAACAAATTCATATTGCTTAAACTCTGAATAATATATCTAATATTCAGAACAATTATGATTACTGATTCAAATAACCATATTGTTTACATCATAACTGATAAAAGTTGATAATATAAATGAGATGATACTAAAGTACTTAATTCATTAAAACAAGCAGTTTTAATATATTAAATTGGGGGGAAAGGGATTGTTAATAATGAGGTCAAATAGCCCCATTACTAGCAATATATCCTGTCAGGTTGACCTCCACGTGGTTCCCCCTGGAAACCATCGTGAACAATTCTTGGTGAATTCATCACGATGGGCTAACTGGCCTGCTTCATCCTCACCTATCATCCTTCACTGGTGCCCCGCCGGTGTATACTGATAGCGCGGGCGGGGTTACCATTGCATTATCTCCCATTAAAATAAAATATTTAATTATTTGTTATACATTGTTAATATTATGATAATATTATTTTGTATATACATTTAACATATATTTTCTTACCACTCTGCTTAATATTTTGTGATGTTTTTCATTCTACGATATATGCAAGAATTTACATATCTTAACACAAAATAAGAATGTAAATGTAAAAATGTGAACATCAAAATATCATGATTATTTTGATGTTTATTTTTTTTTTACAATTACATGACATGTACATGATATATTAATTTAAAAAACATAGAATAAAATTATAATTTTTTTATTTTTTAAGATACTGTACTAAGTCTGGGCTCGGTAAGAAATGTCCTTTAGTTAATAACTATTAATATATACTCATTAAAACATGTATTCTTGAAGCACTCTGACCAGAACATCTACAGACTAACTTTTTTATGATATACCCACTTTAGTACCCTTAAAAGCCTGAAGTTTCAAATTTGACACCGTGGTTTGCATTCTTTCATTGTTAAATAAATATAAATATTTTGATTACCGTAATGTTTTTTTCGAAATAAATATATAAAAATATAGTTTTGATTTTTTTTTACTATTTTTCCCCATTAGTAAACACAGTAAACACTTATATATTGTTTTATTTGATTTAAAAAATCAGGCTTTTAAGGGTTAAATATAATAGCACTTTCACTATTATATTTATACTGAATAAAGTTCATTTTAATACTCATTCTTCATCATTCATCCCATATTCTATTATTTCAAATTTCATTTTCTTGGATGATTCTATTGGCGGTGATACCAACTAGGATCGCTTTCTCCTCATTTCTCCTTTATTTCCACTATTTTTACTCATTGCCACTATTATATACTCAATAAAATATGTATTCTTGAAGCACTGAATCACTCTCGCCAGAACATCTACAGACTAACTTTTTATGTTATACCCACTTTAGAACTAATAATAAATATTATAATAAATGTATTATATTTTATAATATAATATGCAATGTTAATAGGGAAGAAAATGATATAAAATTAACTTTAAACATACCTGTAGGTATAGTAGTTTTCAACCATGGAGGAAGTCTCAAACGATCCCTTTCACCTTTTTCCCTCTTCAGTTTTCCTTCATAGTCATTCCAGTCTTTTGGTCGATCCTCAGAGATGAAATCTTGTAAATTGGGTCCATCTTTTAGTTTCTCTCGTATTGCATCTAACTTACTAGTGTGTTTACATCTCTGGAGCTACAAATAAAAAATGCTATATGTAGAATCAAAATTAGAAGATAGGCTCACAAAGAACAAGGCTGTTTTAAAACCCTATATTACCTCAATTAGAGATTCAACTGCTCAAGTAATGATCATATAATTTGTTACAGACATAGTACTTGAGATGGGATGAACATACACTTTTTATGTTGATCAAGCGAAGTTGCGGACAAAAATGTATTCATAATTTGCCAGCAGACCAAGAAAAAGTACTACGATGTGATGAGAAGACTGAAGGTCAAGGCGTACTCACCTCTAAGTTTCTGGGGAAACACAGTTTTATATTATAACGGAACATTTTACCACAATGTCTATAACATTGTATGTGTAAATAACTTTAATGAAAATGGCATGAGATCTATAAACTAAATCGCTTATTTAGAAATAAAAATTTGATAAACTCAACATTACGATATATAAAGTTTTTAAAATGATTGTCAAAATGTTGCTCTATGATTATTGCATTATCGTAAAAATGAATAATTTTTTCAATGGCTATACTTTTAGAATCTGCGATTGGGGTCAATTCTGAGGCATTATTTCTGTAAATTATCTCGTAACCAAATATGTATTTTATGTCGAATGTCCTTGAAAACAAAAAAAACTTTGCTGTAATATTAATTTTAATTTTAAAGATAAATTTATAGATACAAATTCACAAAGACACCTTAGAATGGACAATGATTATTCAATGATAATTGTTACAGAAACTTATGTTGCATTTTAATACATCAATTATCATCATTCCATTATAAAATAAAATATAAAAAATATATATTTATCTAAAATAAAACAAAGTAAACTATATTTTCTTATGATGCAACTCTTACATTCAATTGTTGAATGAAAAAGCTAGATTCTAACGCAAAAAAACTACTACATTAAAACTTCTACTTCTTTATATTACTTTTTTGCTTTATTGAATAACTAATATTGAAAATAGTTATTTATTTTCATCGATAATTATTAATATCCATATATAATTACTAGTGCATAAGATTTATACTATTGTTGGAAATGTAGATAATAGACATAATGTTAGATAAACAAACGGTGACCTTGAATTGAGCAGCTGTCAACCTAACCAAGTAAAGAATGAAATAAACACAGCGTATTCATTGGAGTCTTCATCATGAGATACGTGGATTCGCAACTTGTTGATAAAATGGATGAGGCTGTAACGCACTATATAAATTCCCATCAACCCAGCGAGGTATTAGCGTTAGTCTTTTAATATTTTATATAACAATTGCTGTTGCTTGAAGTGCAATAATGTTTTGTAAATTTTCCTAAAACCATTTCAGTCTGTACATGTTGATGCCAATGGACTATCCCTCAATGTCCAGGATGATGGGGGTGGGAGAGTGGTCACTGTCATGCATTCACAAACTTTGCCCTCTTCACAAATGTGCAGGTAAGGGTTATCCATTGATTGTAATCTTTTATTCATTGTTTTTGCATTAGATTTTAAACTGGATTAAGGATTTGTGAATATTTTAGTAATATAACATGTGTCACTAATGTCTCAAATGAAAGTTATAATGTTATTTACTAGCTTCTTACTATTTTATTTGCATGGATTATAGAAATATAAAAGCCAATGGAAAAGAACATTTCTGGATAGTTTATTGAGATAAAACATATTCTAGATTTCTAAGTTAGATCTTCAGAAACACAACTATGAAAACTGTATTCAATTCAGTTGTTTTTGCATATTACTGGAACAAACAGACAAATTCTAAATATTGCCATCTAGTTACCGTCTGCTATCAACTAAACCATCCTTATAATTGTTTGGACTTCTATCGTTTTTTATTAAAACCCCTCATTGTCTAGTTATATAACTAAGACTAAGATTAAGAACTCATGCTATTTTCTTGTGAGGACACAGAAACCTCTGCATTTTCTCTCTTAAATATCTTTTTAAAGGCTTTTTTTTATATTTCAAATAATCTTAAAATTACCTATAATATTCTTAACTGAATGGAAGTAATAAAGTCAACTATTGTAACCACCATAATGGTCAATATCTCTATATTAATAATTATATTATCACATTTAAAATCGTAAATTCCACACATCCACACACAGACCTTTTAAAGAATGAGCTTAATATTACTAGAGTTAATGGGTGAAAATGGATTAGTAACCCTGCCCGCGCTATTGGTATATACCGACAAGGCACCAGTGGAAGATGATAGGTGAGAATGAATGCAGGTTAGTTGGCCCACCATGATGAATTCGACAAGAATTAAACATGATGGTTTCCAGGGGGAACCGCGTGGAGGTCAACCTGAGAGGGTATATTGCCAGTAATGGGGTTATTAGACCCCATCACTACCAATCCCTTTCCCCCCAATATTACTAGAGTTAAAGCTGTTCATTAAAATGAAAAAAAAATGATTGATTGAATTGTACATACAATACTTGGGTAATACATTCATCTGGTAGTCCTCATAGCACAATGATAACGTATGTTATGACACATATAATATATAACATAATAGGTTTAGTTTAGAATACATTATTTATTATTATATTCACTTGTTTTTATGGTGATCTGATAATTAATGACTAATCTATATATTTATATGTACAATATGGCCTGCTAAAATCTGTAAATTTTTGGGATTTTAATAAAGACAAAATATTGTGAATTTACTACCTAATAATTAAAATATATCACTAATTCATAAATAACTTTAATTGTGCCTTTGAAATCATTGTTAATTATTTTATTCTATGCTTAATACATTTTTCAAATATCAATTTTATATTAATGTAGTAATCAAGCACTAGTGAGATCATAAATGACCTAGAGGAGATAGGATAGAATGGAAATTATATTATGTCTTAAAATTTGAGATAAAATCAAGTTAAGAGTATAAAGTTTTCATTGTCCTAATTTTGTAATAGTATATAATATGAGACATATCATGATAAGTGCTAAAAAATATATTTTTTATCAGTCAAATCAATTGATACATATTATCAGTATCATTATGTTGTTTGTTTTATTAGTACTAATGTAGAATTAATATATTTATTCTTTCCTTAATATCATAATTTGCATTTTGTGTAACTAAATAGATCCTTTTACACTTTGATCCAACAAGCAAAATAATACTAATTTTTATGACTCCCATTTTTTTTATGCAACTTAGAATGGCAAACAAGCTGACGGCCCACCTGATGGAAAGTGGTAACCGTCGTCTATAGACATGAGCAGTACCGTGGACATAACAGAGTATACTGTTTAAACCCATGATACCCCATGTATTGCCATTCCTGAGGACGCAGGTGTTATTCCTCTGTACCATGTAAATTCTATATACTATATCAATTACTAACTATCTTTTATATAATAATATTGTAGAATGCAACATATATCTAATTGAATTGAATTGAATTCCCTGCCATATCCCATCCTTCAAACTGAAACACAGCCATGCAAACACAACTGGATTTTTTTTACCTATTTCCATTCTTATAATGATATTGTCTCATTGTCAAAACATCTGAGTCAATTCTTTCAAAAACACAATTTCAAATTCTATTTAATTGTATTAAAAAAAAATGTCACAGTATTTAAAGCTTGAATCTATGTTTTAACTTCTCAAGAGAAAGCAATATGAACAAATACATCTCTCATAAATATGTTTATTATTACTTTATCATACTAAAATCTATATTTATTTATTTATTTATTTAAGGACAACCAACAAAGCATACATTTATATCTACTTAAAATTCATGATAATATGGTTACATTATAAAATGCTGCCTCAATTAAAGGTCGCCACGACACGCGTATTCATAATATATTATTATTATTAAGAAAATTTATAAAAACTACAATACTAGTTATACAATAAATAGACTACAGTAATATTTTAAATTTCAAAGATTTGTACACTTATAATCTATACATATGTGCAATGATACATGCATGAATGAATTTAACAAAAGAATCTATATTTCTAACAAAAGAATCTATAATCTATCTTTTAAACAGACATCTACTCTAAAAGTCTGCGCATTTACTCTGACATAATTTTTTGTACAGTACATTTTTTGTACAGTACATTTTTTGTACTTCTATATGTAAATGCGTTAAATGTACATATTCCTTTAGCAGGCAAGTGTCGGTGGGGGAACAAGTTGGTGACGGTCCATGGGGGGAAGAGCTCCTGGATACCGATGGGAGATTAGCAGCACTTGTGGCGCATTTGGCGCAGCATTCAAAGGTGTCGCACTATCAAACCTCACACCATAAGGTATGGTTTGGTAAACTGTTATTTAAGCTTGTAGGAAACATATATATGTATCTGTTATAATATTAGAAAAAGAAAACATTGGTTACTGCACCGATTTTCATGCTGTTTTCATACATGGATAGAGTAGTTCTCGAGGATGTTTTTAGTATATGATTTGTTTTTTTTTTTTTCGAAATTGATTTGGTGTCGCCGTGATTCGACCGGGTCGTGTGGGCACCCCGTGACACCGCGCTTCGTGTCCGAAGCGGGGGGGGGGGGGGGGGGGTTAGGTTGTGTATCATTGTATTTTTTTTTGTTCGTTATGATTTAACTCAAAAACTACTCAACCAATTTTATCGAAAGCTTCAAAGTATTTCTGTAAAGAACCTGTGCGAAGCCGGGGCGGATTACTAGTTAAAGCTAATATAAAATACTAATTTCTCTTTCAATTTATTTACCTTGATTTTAAGCGTCACTAAACCGTCATACTCTGTGTTTCCGATTTTATTCTATATATTAAAATATTTTATTGTATTAAACGTAGGTACCTTCAGTACGTGATATGGATGCTTCCGTGATCCTAGATGCCCCCATAAGACTGTTCAATGGACAGACCTTGGTAAGTGCTGTGTTAAGTCTTATAAAATTGTTTTATTTAAAATGGTTATTTAATTAAAATATTTTATTTAATTCTTCTACCTTTCGTATTTATGTGAGTGCCAATACTTGAAGATTGAACACCACTATTGCTACCAGAAATTTCACAATCTTCTTTATGAACCATCAATTTCCGACTGCCATTTTAATCACGCACATTTTGTGACATGTGTTTCACCTTTAAACGAGGCATTTTTAGGCAAATTACTAAATCGCTGCTCAGAGTCTAGTGTTTTTTTACTGGATGATAATGGAATAGTAACTCCACCTGCGCCAACGGTATACGCTGACGGGGCACCAATGAGGGATGATAGGTGAGAATGAAAAGTCAGGTCAGTTGGCGCATAGTGATGAATTCATAAAAAAAACTATCATCAAGATCAAAAGAAATCAAGATGGTTTCCAGGGGGAACCGCGTGGAGGTCGACCTGATAAGGTATATTGCTAGCAATGGGGCCTGTAAGGTATATTGCTAGTCCCATTCCTAACAATCCCTTTCCCCCCTGGAGCCTAGTGTTAACCATTCGGGTTAACATTAAGTTAACCGCAGTTTGGGTGCTGAACATACAGCCAAAACCCAGTGATATAGACATCCGCAAGATAGTTACTAGTTCAGTAAAATAATTAAGTTGAAGTCTTTTAAATTACATAAAATAATTGTTAAGTTTTTAATTTTTATGAATAAATTGAGTAGACTAATAGTTACAGGTTCGCGAATAGTACACAGTAATGTCATTTGCCATATTTCTTAATACTTTGAACAATATACAAGTTGCTCGGCAGTTAGAGCGAGACAGAGGTACCCATACAGTCGATTTTGTACAGGCTCCCTCTGGCCTCTGGTAAGTTATACGGGTTTCCATCACCAGGACCAACAAGGCGATTCGATAGTGGTGGATGTGCCCCAACTACCGCCGCTGCCACCGTTACAGGAAATGAAGAGGTGTCCAGAAACAGACTGGTTCAACAACAAAACGAAAAATATGCTTAAAGTAAGTTATTTTTTTTATTTACAGTATTTTACTTATTTACAAGTATACTGAGTTTACAGTGTGGCGGTGGCTCTGGGGTTCCTTAAAAGGTACTTTAAGACTCATTCGATTCTTTGCCCATAACCAGAAGCTCCGCTCTTGATCTTGTGGTGGGCAGATAATTTTGGGAGTCACAGCTCACCCTCTCTCCATCCTTCTTAAATACTATAGACTATGGGTGTTGGGGAAGGCCTATGTCCAGTAGTAGATAGATAGTTTCTATCTACTACTGGACATAGGCCTATATATATATATATATATATATATATATATATATATATATATATATATATATATATATATATATATATATATATATATATATAAGGCCTATGTCCAGTAGTAGATAGAAATATATATATATCTACTACTGGACATAGGCCTTCCCCAACCTCAGTCTTCAAATGACAAAATTTGAAGGCTTTGTTTCAAGTGTTATTTTTTTTTTAAGAAAGTTTTTCATTGTTTAAAATAATGTTTCATGTTAGTTTTAATATGTGTTATTGAAATTTATTTATTTATTTAACACTATTGTACACACCAATTATTTATAAAAAAATATGACAGAGGTATACAAATGTGCAAAGGTGAGATGAACTCTAAAAGAGTTCTCTTCCAGCAACACCCAAAGTGGATTAGTTGGAAGTTTACAGTTACATATTTACTTGCGTTGTTAGTGTTGTTTCGTAAGTTCATTGACCTGACAACATCCGACCAAAAGAAATAGCGGAAATAACACAAATGTATAGAGTATCTTGAAAAATAATCTTTATTTAAATAGACATGTTTACAAGCTCTTTTCAATCGTCGTGTATGTAAACATTCTACCGCTGCGGTCGTTATGTTGTTATCTACCGTGAAATTTACAAGAACTCGGCATTTATTATTGTAAAATAAGACAATAATAATATAGAATTGGGAATGAGCTGGGAGCCTGGTGATCTGTAAGACAGGTTTTTTTTTAATGATTGATAATGGAATGTGCATTACATGTTTTTGTATTTTATGCACGAAAAATTATTAATTCACTCTTGCGCCACCTGCCCAGATAGAAAATTTGTTCTCCTTTAACTAAAGGTTGTCTGTAAGAGATTGCCCTAGCGATAAGACCGCCTTTTGTACCTTTATGTATATATTTTAATGTGTATTTATGTTACTGTATTTCACTTGAATTATTCACTTGTCATTGTATATTTTTATTTATGATGCAATAAAGAGTTAAATAAATGAATAAATAAATGGTAACCCCGCCCGCGCTATCGGTATACGCTGACGGGGCACCTGTGAAGGATGATAGGTGACGATGAAAACAGGTCAATTAGTCCATCGTGACGAATTCCACTAGAATTAACGACGATGGTTTCCAGGGGGAACCGCGTGGAGGTCGACCCGATAGGGTGAATTGCTAGCAATGGGTCCATTAGAGCCCATTACTAACGATCCCTTTCCCCCCGTGTAAGACAGGTTATCCTAGTACACGACACCAATCTCTCACAAAGATTGTTTTAAATTGTAACCTCACATAGCTGTAAGTTTTATTATGTTGTTATTTTATGAAAGAAATATATATATTGACTTATTTACTAATACCAGCTAGTTTTAATATAATAGAATAGGACACCCGCCCCTTTCTGCCCCCTTTTCTGCCCCTTTCCTGCGGTTGCCAACCCGCTTGCCAAAGGTAGCAACTATTAGCAAAGGGCTCCCCCCCCCCCTCTTATAGGAGGGAGGAAGGTCCATACTCAGCAGTGGACAGTTAACGGCTGATATCTTTATCAAGATAACAGAATATTACATTACCTATATATTGTTTTTCTTCTAACCAGGACGACAATACTATGCTGACCGACTCGGACGGCCCAGTATTAGAGATGGCGGGGGCGTCGCCCGCTCAACACAAGCAGCAGAACAAGAAGAGTCTGCCACACAAGAAGCGGATATCTAGGAAGCTGAAGAGGAACAACGGCAGTAGTACGCCGCAACAGGTATGTGTCAATTATACGACACGTCTGATGGTAAACAGGCGCCGTAGAAAGCTTGTAACACGCGTTTTGCGACCCTCACGACTTTTTTTTTAATTAATACTCTAGGTTTCTTAAAAGATTCTTAAGTAAAAATGCGAGTTTCAATTTTATAAAATTATTGTTTTATGTGTGAATTGTGGGATATATTTTTTTATGCAACTATATATATATATATATATATATATACCAGGGGTATTACGCGCGCATTGCCGACATAAGAATTTGTAAGTCTGAATGGCAGATTAGACTAAGAATGCATTTTACGTAATAATATTAATAATATGACATGTACAATTTTAATGCTTTATAACTATAATATCGACTATTTTTAAATGTTGACATAATTAACTGATTCAATGTAACAATTAATATGTATTTAGAATAATTATTTGGACATACATAATTGATAAACTTTTACTTAACATGTGCTAAGACAAAATTTGCATGCCTTTAGATAGGGCGAAATGTGTAGTTCAGTTACCATTTTAAGACCTTTGTACCACATTTCGAGCAAGTAAATTATTCTTTCTTTCTTTCTGGTGAAACCTCTTTACCCCCTTTTGAAGATCAAGTGAGGATATGTTATTTGTCCATAGGATATAGTACTGATAAACTGCAGTGAAGAGGTACAACAGGAGGAGATACTGCCTGATAACTTCGTGTCTGCTGTGCAGCACCAGGAGCATCTGCCGGAGGACACGCATCATATCACGCACGAGGTACCTAGTAAATTGTGACATTATGTACTTTTTTTTATATTACTTAGAATGGCAAACAAACTGACGGTCCACCTGATGGAAAGTGGTAACCGTCGCCTGTAGACATGAGCAGCACCATGGACATAACAGAGTTTAGTGTTTCGCCCATGATATCCCCCATGCGTTGTCATTCCTGAGGACTCAGGTGTTATTCCTCTGTACCCAGTAAATTCACGCCATGTCCCACCCTTCAAACCGAAACACAACCATGCAAACACAACTGCTTCACGGTAGAACCACGAATGGGTAGAAACAGAGATGCCCAAGCAAACGACTTTTGTACAAAGTCCCCTCTTAGAATACATAGATGGAGTGTAATTGTACAAATGCTTAATTATACAAATTATACACACCAACAACCCCCTTTAGTATTATTGGGAAATCAATGTAACTACAACAAGGCTGTATACATAATTTAACTATCTTATCTTATATTTGCATATGGGGTCAGCTAAGCTGTTGCACGTCGACCCGTCGGGATCTTTTGTGCTTCCCCCTGCCTTATACCATCATTTCATAGATCCTTTGTGTTACCTTAACGATATCCCGCGGTTTAAGATATCTGTAGTCCACTGGCTTTGGATAAGCCGTTCCCAGTAGACTCATGCGCATGCTCGCTAACGAGTCACAGTTGCACATCACGTGTTTCATGGATTCCGATTTCTCCCCGCACAGTCTGCACAGTGTGTCCGAAGATAGACCCATCTTGTAAAGTATATGCCTTATTGGAATATGTCCAGTTAAGGCACCCATAATGAGTCTTGCCTATTGTCTGCCATTGCTGTAGATGGGTTTATCCCGTCCTTTATCCTTATAATTTAACTATATCTCTTTACAATTTTTTTTTTTTATAGAATTGTATTACTTAATCATTGCTGTGCATGTCTGAACTTGCAACAACATAGATTTTCTTTAATTTATATATTAATCAACCTGACTTTATGGACACTCATTGTTATAGTTTCTTTCATACATACATTCATACATTACTTGCATACACCCACATACAAGTTAGAGAACTTGCCTATCTTGTTTTAGGATTATAATTTTCGTTTATATTATTAAAATCCGTTATTGGCTGTATTTATGTATGTAAGAGAGTTGGCATGTAAAATAAATAAATAAAATTATTGTATTATTAAGATTTAATAGATAATTTTTCTTTTTTGCTCTAGATGCGTCCAATATTCATATGCCAGTTATGTGGTGAATTCTATGGGGAGGATCAGCTCAAGTTCTTCCAGCATTTGAAGCAACACTACGAGCCCCATACAACCATAATAATCGAGAATCCAGTACCTGATATGGGCATCGATAAGGTAAATTTATGTTCATAGTTCATTAGCTGTCATGTTGTTCCAGCATAGAATCTGCAATTACTTCCTTTCCCGTGGGTGTGGTAACAGGCGACTGAGTAAACTTGGGGTGGGCAGTAGCGTTCTTCTAAATATAATATCCAATCCTAATTGCGGTTGCCAATCCGTTTTTCCAGTATTTGCTACGTTTGAAAACCTCCCTTATGGGGAATGCCTATGCTGAGCAATGGACTTAATGAATAACTATGGGATATGGCATGAATTTACTGGATACAGAGGAATAACACCTGAGTCCTCAGGAATGGCAACGCATGGGGGGTATCATGGGCGAAACAGTATACTCTGTTATGTCCATGGTACTGCTCATGTCTATAGGCGACGGTTACCACTTTCCATCAGGTGGGCCGTCAGCTTGTTTGCCATTTTAAGTAGTATAAAACAAAATAACTTATTAAACAAATATGATGAATAATTTCAGATGACCAACACGTGTATAGTCGATAATGTAGCGACGTTACCCGACTCTATAGTGGAACTGTCGCTCGAGGACACAGTGCCGAAAACAATGTACCAACCAATGGACAAGCACATATTGTACACGTCGAGCGATAAGACACTCAACTATTCGAGCAATAAGCTGCAATATTCTATGGCGAGTATGGACAAAGAGCCTCCAGTGCACCCGTCGGAGGCAGACAAGAGTGATCTGTACGAAACATTGGATAAACTGGAGATGTACCGTTTGAAGAGCCACAAGTCGTATAAGAAACAAAAACCGAATGATGCTCATATCAAAGAAACCAATACTAGTGCTAAGGTAAATATTAATACCCAATTATCTTGATATTAATATATGGGTGGGAGGGATTTTTAATAATGGGGATTTAATAGGTTTTTTTTATGGGTGAAAATGAAATACTCTCGCCTATGCTATCGGTATACATTGGCAGGGCGCCACTAAGGGATGATAGGTGAGGATGAAAATAGGTCAGTTGGCCCATATTGTAACAAATTCAATAAAAATAAACCATGATGGTTTTCAGGGGAAACCGCGTGGAGATTTTTTTGTTTTTACCCATTAAGGGTGAAAATGGAATGGTAACCCAGCCTGTGCTATCGGTATACACAGAGGAGGCACCAGTGGAAGATGATAGGTGAGAATGAATGCAGGTCAGTTGGCCCATCATGATGAATTCGACAAGAATTAACCATAGTTTTCAGGGGGAACCGCGTGGAGGTCGACCTGAGACCGACATTACTAACAATCCCAAGCGGAGATTAACCTCATAGGTTAATTTGCTAGCAATGAGGCTTATAGAGCCGTGGTCTTTTTGTATCGTTTGCGTTCTCAGCCTAATAGCGAGTCGCGTTTCAGTTGGACGACATGGGCGAATTCAGCGAACCCGAGGACCTGATGGAGGGCATCCACGTAGCGGTGGAGGAGGGCGGCGACCACTACGAGCACATCCTGCCGCACCTCACCGTCGACAACGGACACGTGCACCAGGACCACGTGCGCCACTGGTGCGTACTAATGCTACCAGTATTTACACTTATTCACTTGTCTATGCGTTTATACTGTGATCTGTTCAGTCGTCCATACAATTATTCTTTTGCTTAAATAGAAAGAAAGAAAGAAATATTTATTTAATGCTTAATTTCACGTTAAAAACATATAATAATAAGAAATATTTAATAGTAAACAAAAAATAATGATAAAAGAATAAGCATTAAAATGGTGTCACTCAGCTATATGCCATGTTCTTTCAAACATGCCGCTGGTTTTCAGTGGCACCAGTTTATTAGTAACTAATAATTTTGTAGTAAGTGGTACTGGACTGAGATGATAATAAAAAAATAGTGTGCCACTATTTTCTCACTTTATTTTAATAAGGTTAAAAAAAATTTTTAAAAATTCATGCGAAATGGCTCGCGCACCTCCATGTTGAAAATATATCAATGAACTTGTGGTTGATGATCAAGATCATTATATTGTTGACACATTTTAACATATGGGTTATAGTATGAAATATTGATTTTGAGAATTTGAAGAGCAAATAATTTATGTCTAGGATTTCATGACTCAAATCTTGTATTAAGGCGTACGGCTGAAAGAAGAGGGGGTGAATCAATCGTGTTATTGACTATTTTAAATAAACAAATTAGGTCACTGCACCGGCGACGTGTTTCCAAAGATGTCTTTTTTTTCTACAATTTAGAATGGCAAACAAGCTGACGGCCCACCTGATGGAAAGTGGTAACCGTCGCCTATAGACATGAGCAGTACCATGGATACAATAGAGTATACTGTTTCGTCCACGATACCCCCCATGCGTTACCATTCCTTAGTACTCAAGTGTTATTCCTCTGTACCCAGTAAATTAACGCCATATCCCACCCTTCAAACCGAAACACATCCATGCAAACACAACTGCTTCACGGTTGAAACACGAATGGGACAGAGGTACCCGAACAATCGACTTTTGTACAAAGTCTCCCTCCGGTAATGCCTAAGTAAGATACCGAAGTACCCAAGATTATCATCATAAGATTTTAATATAAGGAGTTTGTTTGACTTAAATGAAACTGCAATGGTTGAATAGGTACATGAGGGGGGCGAACGAGTCGCAGGGGGCGGAATCACCGCCTTCAGGGGCTACCTCCCCGCGCGCCGCGCCCGCCTACAGCGCCACGCCCGCGCCCGCCGCGCCCGCCGCGCCCGCCGCGCCCCCTGCCGGCCGCGACACGCACTACTCACCCGACGCGCAGCCGCACCACCACCACGACCACCACGACCACCACGAGCCGCACGAACACCACCACTTCAAAGGTAACCTTAATACGTTCTCCACATGCAATTTACTAGCGTTCTTTTAGAGTTTTATTTTTAAAAGATTTCATAATCACGCATTATATGTTAATGTAGTATCTACCGGTTTAATATACGTGTAATTAGATCAAAAGATCGCGACTAGTTTCGGAATCAATTCGTGATCCTTAGTCATGAGCAGCTAACGCAAACACGAACCTGAGTGAATGCCTCGACCGAGGTTATCGAATACCTCGAGGAGGTATTAATTACATTGTGATATTGGTTTAAAATCTAATGTTTAAAATAAAATAAATTGCATATATATATATATACGCTAGTTTTTAATTAGTATGTGCCTATTTATTTTTATATATTTTTTTTGATATAACATTCCTATGTCGTATATTATATATTAATATTTGATAATAAAACGGTGCCTCATGTAGATGCAAACTGAAAATCAATCAATTTTGGCATGAATCCAGCAAAAATTAAGTTTGTACCTCCTGCCAAGCATACGGATACTTTACAGTGTATTTATTAATATATGTACTACGAACAATAAATATTATTATTATTATTAAATAAATTAAATATGATTTTCTTTTTTTTTTACGCAACTTAGAATGGCAAACAAGCTGACGGCCCACCTGATGGAAAATAGTAACCGTCGCCTGTAAACATGAACCATAACATAGACATAACAGAGTATACTGTTTCGCTATATGATACCCCCCATACGTTGCCATTCCTGAGGACTCAGGTGTTATTCCTCTGTATCAAGTAAATTCACGCCATATCCCACCCTTCAAACCGAAACACCCTCACGCAAACAACTGCTTCACGGTAGAAACACGAATATGACAGAGGTGCCCAAGCAAATGACTTTTGTACAAAGTCTCCCTCTAGTCTAGTTTCTTCTTTATGTATGATTTTAGATACCTCTAAAAAGTAGTTTTTCAATACCACCAAAGGTCTATCTATGGTTCAATTATTGTCTATAGACATCAAGTATTACGGTCCCATCATATAGAATATTTCACAGTTAAAAATGCATAAAAAAAAAATCATAAAGTGCTATGATCTCGTGATAATAATGCATAAGTATGTTCAACAGATGAAATATTAAAACGTATCCTCGAAGCGGAGTCTCCAGCGTTGAACACCAACTATGCGAACCATATGTTGCCCAATTATGAGGTGCAGAATCCGCCCGAGCACCGCAGCGAGGACGTGAAGCCGACAGAACAGGCCAAGACAGTCGATAAGAAGGTATATATATATATATATATATTGTCCATTAAACAAACATTTATACACAATAGGAGCCACAGACAGCCCTCTATGTCGAGGCTGTTTTGACGCCGAAGAAACGGCTGCTCGCGTAATCCTGGAATGTGAAGCTGAAGCCCATCAATGTTTAGAAATCCTCGGAACGGTGAGGTCGCTCCGTGAGGTCTGCGAAGAACCCAGGAAGCTTCTGCGCTCCTGGGCGAAGCTAGGTTGGCTGTACTAGCCACCACTCATACGCACAATGGCCCAAGTGAGAGGCTAAGCGCGGAAAATGAGAGTCCTATTCATATTCATATATATATATATATATATATATATATATATATATATATATATATATATATATATATATATATATATATATATATATATATATATATATATATATTACCACACATTTATTAGTTATATAATTTTTAATTATATAAATATTATGCCTTCATTGTAAAATACATATGTGGATTCGTGTGATGTGCAGACGAAGACGTTCTCGTGCGTGGAGTGCGGGCGCGTGTTCCACCACAAGAACAGCCTCATGTACCACATGCTGTCGCACAGCGACAAGCAGCAGGCCTGCAGGGAGTGCGGCAAGACCTTCTACACGCCCGGCGCACTCAAGGTGACTTCATTTATTTATTAATTTATTTACACAAGAAATATATAATAAATGTGACAAATGTATACATATGTACAAAGGCGAGGTTAACTCTAAAAGAGTGGAAGCTGGAAGAGTCAACGAATCCAAAGTGAAAAGGAGCATCGATGTCAGTGGGTAGAGCGGTGTACATTAGTGTGACAATTTTCAAACAAAAAGAATTAGACAAAGTTAGGTATATACATTAGTAATTATATTTATGTTTATGTATATAAAAGGCCGGCAGCATTAAGTCCGCCATGTACATATATATGTTTGTACTAATGAATAAATAAATACTTGGCTGCACTGTTAATTAATAAATATTATTATAATATAAGAATTGAATAGAAATTATCTTTATTATATTTATTTATTTAACTCTTTATTGCACCATAAATAAAAATATACAATGACAAGTGAATAATTCAAGTGAAATACAGTAACATAAATACAGATTGAAATATACACATAAAGGTACAATAAGTTTGTCTTATCGAATAAATAAATCTCTTACAGACAAATATTATTATAATATAAGAATTGAATAGAAATTATCTTTATTATATTTAATTAATCATTTTTCATAAATAAAAAATACAAAAACCTGAATAATGCAGTGAAAATATCAAATACATGAAATAATTTATTAAACTACTTACTATATATATATATATATATATATATATATATATATATATATATATATATATATATATATATATATATATATATATATATATATATATATATATATAATATCAAATACATATAATTTATTAAATAAACCTGTTTACAATATTTTTTTTTTTAATATATATATAATAAGTTTTTGTGTTCTTGTATTTCTCTTTAATAATATTTTTATTCCCAATGATGGTAACACATAGCATGCTTCTCATTATAATAAGCAACAAATTTTAACGTTACTGATGTTCATACAAATGAATTATGGATTGATCGCTTGATAAGTGACGTAATACCTGATCTGCGTCAGGTACACAAACGCGTGCACAACGACGACCGGCCGTACAAGTGCGAGGACTGCGGCCGCAGCTTCCGACAGTGGAGCGTGCTCAAATATCACAAGATGTCCATACATTCCACACAAGTGAGTACTCGGAGAGTTCCTCGTCCGTTACTGGCTAATAATCTGTACACAGTACACAGTTAGAATTATTTACATTCAATTCAAAACTTATTTTTTTTTTTTTTTTAATAGTTATTGTTTATGATTCTAGTGCCCATTTTTTTTTTAACAAAAGTTGATATTGCAGTTGTAAATTTGTGTCAATATAGATTATCAGCTGCTGACAGTACAAGAATTATTTATTTATTATAGTTTATAAGAGACTAAAATAAATAAATAAGGAGTGCTCAGAGGAATTGTTCAATATGATGCCCACAGCCATTTTTTCCATTGTACAGTTTGCCATCCACAGGGAGTTCATCTTTATGTCCTACAGTCTCAATGGTCGCGTACTGCGCGGTTTCAGAGATGTTTCCTCCCACGAACACTCAGGTTGTGGAATGAGCTCCCTGCCGAGGTTTTCCCAAGAGAGTACAGCATGGGGTTCTTCAAAAAAGGGGTAAAGAGGATTCTTCAGGGTCGGCAACGCACGTGTATACCTCTGGTATTGCAGGTGTTTATAGGCTACGGTAACCACTTACCATCAGGTGGGCCGTATGCTTGTTTGCCACCTCAGTGGTAGATAAAAAAACTTATATGTGTGTGTGAGAGAGAGAGATGGAGAGAGAATAAACGCGATTTATGTGAATCATGATAATTTCGAATCATCGACCGCGTTACTTAATGGTTGAAGAAGGATAGCAATGTCTTCCTTGAAACATTACCAAAGCCTAATTACCTACTACCCTACCAGTTGCCAACCTACCTACCAAGCGTGATAACCATTGGTAAAACGACAGTAGAAGATTTTTATTTTTAATGAAATAGTACCCATATTTAGCTTTCTGTTGATGAAAGTGTTTTTGAAATAGGTTAAGTACTTTCCATGTTTATGCTTTACAAACAAGAAATCAAATCTTTCCTTCTAATAAATATAAGTATTTATTTGTAACTTAAAGGTTCAATGTTGTAACCATGCACCTGTGTTTGTGGTTGCACAGAAACTGTTCAAGTGCGAGTTCTGCGAGAAGGAGTTCGCGCGCAAGTACTCGCTGAACCTGCACCGGCGCATCCACACCGGCGAGCGCAACTACAAGTGCGACTACTGCAACAAGACCTTCCGCGCCTCGCACTACCGCCTCTCGCACATGCGCACGCACACAGGTAACGCACGCGGCCACGCGCGGACGCGCACACGCGCACACGCGCACACGCGGGGACACGGACACATACACACACGGACACACACGCACACACACACAGAGAGAGAGAGAGAGAGGGCACACGGACACACACACACGCGCGCACACACACACACACATAGACACTCGACACACACACACACACACACACACACACACACACACACACACACACACACACACACACACACACACACACACACACACACACACACACGCGCGCGCGCGCACACACACACACACACACACACACACACACACACACACACACACACACACACACACACACACACACACACACACACAGAGAGAGAGAGAGAGAGAGAGAGGTGCACGCAATCAGTTACAGTATTCGATCTCATGATCTCATGATCATGATGATGAATTTATCTGTCATACACAGGGTGTGGTGAACATGTTTTATATTATCAATGGAAGTATATATTTATTTACTTATACTTTTGCACACATTAGAATATGTCTGCAGTGCGAACTTAATGCCTGATGACATTCTCTACCAGTCAACAGTTACACTGAACAGAGAGAGTAAATATGTTGTTCATGTCGTAGTTCACTAGTTGTTATTCTTGTATGTTTTTACTATATGCATATTCTATTTAATCTCTTATAATAATTCCACTATTGATCACATATTTATATTCTATCTTATGTTTGTCTAACATTCCCATGGGAATCTGTAATTGGCTAATGTACGGTGTAAATATAATATTTTTAATTATTCTTAAAATAAGCTATTGATTCTAGATGTAATATTAAAATAAAAAATCCTAAAATGAAATGTCCTTTCAGGTGACAAACCGTACAAGTGCAGTCAATGTGGCAAATGTTTCCGTGTTACCGGCGATCTCCGGAGACACTTTGTAATCCATGAGAAAATGCGCAATCGCATAGAAGAGCATAAGAACAAAAAAGAGGCAAAAGACGCAAAAGATAAGAAAGCCACAGCGAACAAAGTGGACGTTAAAGTCGAGCCTCCCAACACGAGTGAGGGTGATAACAAGCAAGTACCCAAAACGGTGAAGAAAGTAGCTGTAGCCTCCACAACCAGGGGTCCAATACTGAGGAATGTGGATAAGAAAACGCGGACAAAGAAGAATCAAGGTAAAAAGGATGGTGCACCTAATGTCACAATAGGACATAGGTTAGAGAACGGACAATATAAAATGGATGGGGAATACTCAAATATGGGAGTGTTTGATGTGAGACATGCAGACGAAGAGTATCATAAGTTTAAAGAGGTCTACAATGAGAATGAAGCGCTGACAAATTACAAAGCTAAGGAACAATACAGCGGACAGGTAGTGAACTACAAAGATGCCGTAGGAATGAGCGAGACGAGAGATTTTGCTGTACTAAGACCCATGTTCAAGAATGATCACGAGAGTGTTTCAGATAAACAAGTATATGCTAGATCAGAAAATACAGATGGTAAGATGCAAGTGTTCACCCATGTAGAAAAAAGTAAGGACTATAACGGACCAATAGTAAGTAATTCGGTGTCCCTAGGTGATATGAGGCACTTGGATAGAGAGACGGCGAGGGATACTCGAAATGATTCTTTACACGGGGAGACAATTGAAAACGGTTTCCTAGAAAGACTGGCGGGACTTTATAACATACCAGCTATATGAAAATAGAAGAAATATTGCTGAGCTAATTCAGTAATATATTTTAATAATTGCATAGTTTTAATTTTTATTTGGTCACTTTTTTTTTTGTAAATGAACAAATTGTAGGCGTCAAAGCCATTACAATGTGCCTGTCCCACCTACTTAGTTATTTATATTGAACGCGAGGTACTTGGTTAGACTGTGAACGTTTTAAATAGGCATGTAAGCAATGTTACCATTTATTTCACATCCATTTAGTATAAAAATAACAGCATATTTTCGTTTTTTTTTTTTTTTTTTCGTCTAGTTTGGCGAAAAAGTTTGTGTATTTTTTTCTATTGTAATTTAATTGTACCTAGTCCTATGGTTTAGCTCTTATACTGTCTTTTTATACATTTAGTCAACTCGACCTTTAAAGAGTTATTATGAATTTTAACTGTTTAATTTTTTTTTTTTTTCAATTGACTTGAAATTATATGAATTATGTCGATTTATTGTACGTATATACATATACAAGAAAAACTTATGTGATAAGTGTATGCTCAACTCGGATTGAGTATAGATGGCGCTCTGTGATATCTCCAGGGCTTTTTTATTATTTTTTATATGTGTACTTCCATAGTGGTCTCATATTAATTTGTTGATTTCAACAAAAATCATACTTAATAAAAAATACCTTAATTTTTTTGCATAATATTAGTGTTTCATATTTTAATGTTAATTATAAAGAATAAAGGTGTAGAAATCAGATTTTTTTATATATAAAATTTTAGAGTTTGTCTGTCTGTATCGATATTTTATTGTTTTATGAATAAACATGAAGTAATGATCATAATAATAGATTGGGTAGAAGTGACACTATTACATTGTCTTTGATAAATGCGCTAATACCACCATTTATACTTCTTCCTTCACGACACGTTTTATATATTTTTTTTATTGGATGAAAATGGAATGGTAACCCCGCCTGCGCTAACGGGATACGCTGGCGGGGCACCAGTGAAGGGTGATAGATGAGAATGAAAATAGGCCAGTTAGCCCATCATGATCAATTCATTAGGAATGATAGTTTCCAGGGGGAACCGCGAGGAGGTCGACCTGGTTGGGTATATTGCTAACAATGGGATTCTCAGTCTCCGTTACTAACAATGCCTTTCCCCCCACCACGTATATGTTGGGATATTTGTTTGCATTTACAAATAGTTTTATCAATAGACGCCTCACACGCGATACGTTCGAGTGAGCGGGACACATGTTATTCCCCGCCCCCGCCCCGGCTTCGCGCGGGTACACATTACATCACGTCACATTAGAAACCTCTAAATTTATCAGTGTTTCTCTACAATATTATGCATGTATTATACATATAAACCTTTCTCTTGAAATACTCTCTCTATTAAAAAAACTGCTTCAAAATCCGTGGCGTAGTTTTAAAGATTTAAGTATACATAGGGACGGACAGACAGCGACAGCGACTTTGTTTTATACTATGTAGTAATCAGAACGTGGACGGTCATCGTGCCAGCCATAGATTTATGATAGTACCTGCGATTCAAATAAGACAGTAATAGAACGAGACACAACTATAAGCGAAACACGTCAGTATGAGCGGATCGGAAATATGTTTTGTCTTGCTCTACATACGCTTTTATATATATATATATATATATATATATATATATATATATATATATATATATATATATATATATTATATATTATTTTTTATTGGTGATAATGAAATAGCCCCACCCGCGCTATCGGTATACACCGGCGGGGCACCAGTGAAGGATGATAGGTGAGGATGAATCAGGTCAGTTAGCCCATCGTGACGAATTCAACAAGAATTGTTCACGATGGTTTCCAGGGGAAACCACGTGGAGGTTGACCCGATAGGGCATATTGCTAGCAATGGGGCTGTCAAATTCCATTGCTAACAATCCCTTTCCCCAACGCTTTCATATTTGAACGACTCGGCTTATTTGGTCACAGCAAAAGCATTACGTTTACATTATCCGTTCAAATTAAATAGCCATATCACTATTATACGTGTCACGAATAAAGAGGTCATTCTATTATTTCATAGTGCATACGTTTATAGCATTTTTATGGCATTCTCTTTCTAAGGCGCTTACGTAATTATTATTTTTAAAATTAATAAATGTCACTTCTACTCATTTATTGTTTTTATGTACACAATTGTTTGTATATTTTATGTTTGAAGACATTACAAATTGTTATAGTAATATTATTCTTATAAACTTTTAATAGAGGTTCGAAAAGAGTTGTATCCAGAGCCGTGAAACATACCTATTAAAAATAACTTTATAATGTAATAACAACCTTATTCCTTAGACATAAGATGTATTTTAATTTTTAACTTTTTGCATTGATTCTAAAAGGTGTTTGGTATTTTTTTATGCCACTTAATAATATTATGTGATATGTCCTCCAATTGTAAACCTATTTCTATTACTGATTTTCGTTTGCTTTTTTTAATACTAAACTATATAACATAAGTAGAACATTGTTATCAAAATCAGCTGTTTGGCTTTTGGTGATGTTTTAAGAGGGACGCTGTTGCCCATCCCTCGACCAATAAGTTTCCTTAGTCGCCTCTTCCGACCACGGGTAAGGATGGCGTGGCCCATTCTATGCCAGGAACACACGGCAAATAACATAAGTAGAACGCTTTGTAGCAATAACTTAAAGTAATAAAAAGACTTCATATTGAAATCTTGCTAAACAAATACGACTTACTACTTCGCCTAATATCATTATTAATAAGAATGTTTCATTTAAAAAGATGTAGGACAAACATACCGAATGACATCTCTTGGTATTGTCTAGTATGTAGTTAATTAGGGGTTAAAAAATACGAAAGACTGTTGCTTAAGTTATGGTAATTATTGTGTACTGCATTCATGAATACTGTTATAATATAGCAATATCTACATATAGAGTTACAATATCTACATATTGCGTTACAATATCTACATATTGCGTTACAATATCTACATATTGCGTTACAATATCTACATATTGCGTTACAATATCTACATATTGCGTTACAATATCTACATATTGCGTTACAATATCTACATATTGCGTTACAATATCTACATATTGCGTTACAATATCTACATATTGCGTTACAATATCTACATATTGCGTTACAATATCTACATATTGCCCCAATAAAGTATGTTATATATCTGCAATTGAATGTATAATATAGACATCCAACCGATATGGGTGATATCGAAATAGTTGATGACCTAATTTTCCGTCATCGAAATATGGAAAATAAAGTCATCTAGTATCAGAGTGCAAGTAATAGTACTAAAGTATTTTTTTTTTTTTGTATTGGATGATAATGGAATGGTAACCCCGTCTGCGCTAATGTTTAATTTTCGATTAATTCATCACGATGGGCCACTAACCTGCTTCATCCTCACCTGTCACCTCTAACTAGTGTCCCGCCAGCGTACATCGTTAGTGCAGGCGGGGTTACCATTCCATTTTCATCCATTAAAAAAAAATATATCGGAACGGTACTGATATTAGCCATGCTTCACTATTATGTCTTGTATGAAAAATTGCGTCTGTAATTTTTTTTATTATTATTATTTTTTCTAATAAAATGAGGCGCGTTCTGATTGAATCAATTCCCAGTGATTGGCTAAAATTTGTAAGCCGGGCGTGCATATTTCGATTTGCAAATAATTTAATTTTGAGATTATAAATAATGTGTGACAATTTTAACAAAACGTGGTTAAATTTTCATCAAGTTACATCGAAACAGCCTATACCTGAATAATCAAATAACCAAAATTAGTAAAAAGTAGACTGTGCCAACATATCTACAAGGGGGGAGAGGGATTGTTAGTAACAGGGGAATCAATTCCTTTTTTCTATCAATATACCCTGTCAGGTTGACCTCCACGGGGTTCCCTCTGGAAACCATCGTGATTAATTCGTGTCGGATCCGTTACAATAGGTCAACTGAGCTTCATCCTCAGTTATCATACCTCACTAGTGCCCCGTCAGCGTACACCGATAGCGCGGGCGGGGTTACCATTCCATTCTAACCCATTTAAAAAAAACCTATCCATGTGCCTCCGATCAAACTATTTTTTATAATTACTCCTCTCCATCCAAAGGTTGCCTGGAAGAGATCGCTCTTAGCGATAAGCTCGCCCATTGTTTTCTCATTGTGATTATTTCTTGTAATTGTTTATATTTATAATAAGTTTACTATTGTAATCTTTTGGAGGAAACAATAAAGAGTATCTATCTATATCCACTATGTATTGTAAACGCACATTACATCATATTTACTACTGCTAATCATTAGCTGTCTTCAGGCCAGTCACAGTATTGACTGAGGGAACAGTGTCCATACTGTTCTGCCTGTATACTTACACAGATCTCTTACATCAGACACTTTCATAATTCATCCCATAGTTACGTAATTATAACATTATCGTATATTTAAACATTGGTACAAGTCAAAAAATATTTTTTTTTTTTTATTAATTCCTCATACCAGTCTTTAACTGCCTTAACCTGCTGCTGATTTTCACCATCGTACAACCCGCCATAAACTAAAGTTTCATCCCAACCATCTGGACGAGTGGCGGTCTTCTACCGTGCGTTTTTCAATGCACTTTCTTCCACGCACAACCACTCTTTGGAATCAACTTCTAGCAGCAGTATTTCCGAACCGATACGACAACATAACCTTCAAGAAAAGCATATTCCTTTTTAAAAGGCCGGCAGCACACCTGCAATGCCATTGGTGTTGTAGGTGATCATGGGCGGCGGTAGTTACTTACCATCAGGTGAGCCGCATGCTCGTTTGCCTCTGTGTTGTAAAAAAATACTTTCTATTGTTAAATATAAACCTCCCTCTTGAGTTTCACCAGTATTTGTCACGCTTGGCAGGCGTGTTGGTAACCGTAGTTAGCCTTTGGTCATGTAACTATTTCACATTAAAATCGCTTAGTCTCGTTTGGAAACAAAGATTTTTTTATTCCATTTACGTAACTTTGGAATTAATATTATAAATACTATCACGGATTTTGGGTTTATGTCTTTGTATAATTTTTATATACGCAGCCATACAAAGTGCTAGGGTTAGAGATATTTTAAACAGGGTTTCTATTCGGAGAAGTTGGAATCATTAACAGGGATCGTTCATTTACATCGTTAATCGTTAGAAGTACAGTAGAATCTCGATTATTCGAATCGAATAAAACCATGTATTCCGTATAATCGAAAATCCGGATAATTGATTTCAAAGTTAAATTGAACAATATGTAATAAAAATTTTATATATTTTTTTTTATTATTTAAAGCATTTTACATACGTCATTTAGACAATACGATATAAAAAAAAAAAACGAGCTATAAAGATAATAGATTACATTATATCATTTCTAAATCGGTAATTAGAGTCATAAAAATAAGTCCGGATAATCGAATATTCGGATAGTCGAGATTCTACTGTAGTTTCGAAAGGCAAAGTCTATTATTGATACTGCACATGTTTCCCAAAAAAATATCGGCCGAAAAAACAAAGAAAAAAAAACGTAGGCTAAAAATACTTGTTGTTTTTTGAACTATGTTTCTTCAAGAAATTTCAGTTTACTTGTTTAAAAGTTAATAATTTTTAATTCACCTGTATAGACTAAAAAGGATTTTGGCAAAATTAACACAAGAACAAGAGATGCATATAACACGCGAGTGTAGACATCAGTTGTTCGGAATATTTAGATTAGCACGTGTGCAAACTAAACGAAGGCTTAGATTATATAGATAGAGTGTCTCCATACAAATTCTTCGAGAAAAGCGGGTCAACTTTTTCATACAATTTTGCGTGATAAATAGTTATGTTTCCTTTATATTTTCTATATTTATTTTGTTTTATAATTTTTGCAACTTTTTAATGCGTAAAGATTTATTTTATTTATTAAATATAGATACGTCAAGATACATTATGTGCGTAAGTATATAGAATACTAATAAAAAAACGAGTCAGCTAATTTGACAATTATCTGACAAAAAGTTGATCCGTTTTTGAAACTCGATCCTCTGTCTATATAATCTAAGAGCCGAATATATTTGGTAATAGTGGGAATGGAAGGCACATTAATTTAAACTACATAGTAATTTAAAAGTTCTACTATTACCTGTAAGAAAGCTTTAGATATTGTTTATATTATCAATTCAGTACAGAAATGTTCTTCCATAAGGACTTGTAACTTGACGATTGTAAATAAATTTAATTTGTACATACTTGTAGACAATATTTGTAAATATTTATAATTGATAGTAATTAAATAAAAGGAGTTTTCCATTTGTTTGTTGAGTTTTATTACACAATTTCAAAAAGAGGGCCCTATTCAAATTTTGGGTGTAACACAAATAATGTAATACTATCTTGATGTCTTGTCAGTTCTTAAAATAATTTCGATGAATATTTTAGTCGAAAATTTTTGTTTTTTTTGCGAGGTACTCCTTGTTCACAGCCACGAAAGTAAGTTTGGACACCTCTATTATTAATTTTTAGTTATTTCTCTTGTTTTCTAGCCACCACACTGTCAGATACGAATCTAATGCTAATGTCATTGACTTTTAATTTGTGT